TTTCCATCCTTTGGCTCCAAATTGTCCTAAATTGGCATTGACTATGATGATATTCAGAAAATAGACTTCACAGAATTGTCCCAGTGCTGGTTATAAATAAAATTTAAGGTTCAAAAGGAAAGAGTTCTTAATACTCCAAGGGATTACTGAAATTGATCCTAGTACTATTTAAATATGCATAGTTTAGCTGGGTTCATCACCTTTCATTCACTGCATTCCCCTTTTGTAAGCATAGAGAAACTTACTGTTTTAGCAAATCCAGATTTTTCTATATATACCGGATTATAATTCCCTTTCAAAACTAAACAAAATTCACTCTGAAAGATACCAGCCTAGGAAATTGGAGCCTGAAAAGGCTGACCCCTTTCTCTCTCAGGATCAGGCAGTATCACACAATCAGAATTTTTATTCATGCAGCACATGAGATGCTTAAATGACTCCTTAACTTCTGAAAATGTTTTTTCCCCTTGCAATGCAAACCCAAAAATCTCCAATACAGAAATGACAGTTCTCTAGCAATTAGTGTGACAGAAAGTCTTTAAGACAGTGCATGTACAGAGTTGGCCAGAATAAAGTTTACTCTTTCCAAAAGGCATGAAGAGCTTACTCTACAGAACTACTGAGTAATACCAGCACAAGCATGTGGTCCATGCCCAGATACCATAAATCTACATGAACCAAATTACAATCCCTGCATGAAGCCTTCCCTAAAGCAAAGAACTGCTGGGCTTCACCACAAGTAGTACAGGTGCCTGGCTGCTGGAAGGCAGAGAGCTGTGCCTCTTTCCAATATTGCTTTTGCAGCACTGGAAATTAAAAAAATGGACTATGTGACTGTCCAGATGAATAAGCAGCAAAACGTGTGCTCCTCTTACACCAGCGGGCAATTCCTTCATGTCACAGCAACCTGGTCTGTGCTTGGAGATTTTTGAGGAAGGCAGGTTTGATAGGAAACTACTCATCTGAATATAAAACTTCTTAACCAGCCAACTCCTGCATTTTTTTTCTAGAAGCCAATTCTGTATTGTAAGTAAAATAGGAAACAAATTGAACAGAATACTTAAATAGTTGTGATTTAAATCTTGGGTTTCCCTTCAGACTTAATCAGCTATCTTTTCTCATTTTGTATTGGAGGACACAATCTTCAGTCTCCCTATATGTATCATAACATATTTAGGCATTCTAATTTCCAGATTCAATCAGCTCAGGCATATTTACATATTTATTAGGAGAAAGGTTAATACAAATCATTCTGTTTGGATTCTATTGCAAGCTTTATGGGTAGGAGCAATCTAAGTCAAGTGCAGCCATTGCTAAATCACTAATAACCTCCTGAAAGCATGATTTTTACTATTCCAGTTTCATATGCTGAAATAATTACAATGATAAAATGAAATGGAACTTTATAAATGGGCTTATTATTCTGATTTACAAATGAATAGAAAACCTTTGAAATCATTGTTATCTAGATTGTAACAATAAAGGATTTTTACTATCATTACTCAATATCTGAGGAACTTCATTCTTTTCTTGAATATAAACCCTGCGCATTCATTTTCATGGACTTGTCAAGAAAACAGAATTATGGAACTGTCACTCAAATTAAATGAACTTAATATATTACTGTCTACAATAAAAGTAAATGCTTACCTAGGAAGCTTTTTCTTTTGTAAAGAGACGATATGAGACCTGCATGATACTCAAAATATTATTGGAATGATAAGAGAAGGAATAAAGCATAAAAATATTAATATTTCTTTTAAAAGATGTATACAAGAGAAATATTGACCTAATAATCAAGTGAAATATTCCCCTAATATTCAAATTTAGTTAAGTGCTGAGTGCTAGACATAGATGCAATATATTGTAGAACTGGCTGAACATTCCAAAAAACATTGACAGACTTCCAAAACAAGATGTGCTCTATACAAAGTACAGCCCCACATGTATAGGCTGTGTATGTCACATCTTTGAAATGCACTCATTTAAATACATTATCAGCAGCAAAAGCAAGATCAAAGAGCTGGGTGGGTTGGATGTGGGCTGGGTAGTGAAGGATGATATGGCAACGATGGTTCAACAAAACTTCATTCCTCACAGACTGCAACAGCAAGGTTTGGGAAGTGTGACAGCCCAAACTGGAGAGTAAAAAGCAAGAAACTGCTTAAAGAAACTGGACATATGAAAGCCCACAGAATTAGAGATTATTTAGGTGTGAGTGATGGACACAGGCTGCTGAGCCTTCAAGGCCATGTCTCTGATTAAAAAAACCTGGAGGAGGATAATGGGAGAAGTGGTAACAGCTGGACAGATCCAGGGACCCAGAGGCCTGGCCAGCCCCAGCACAGCCACAACCAAGGTCATGAAGCACATTTTCTGAGAAATTACTCACAACAACTGTAAGGATAATAAGGCAGTATCATGAATGTTCAAAAATAGATTTACCAAGGGAAGATCATTCCTGTGCATGAGGAGAAAACAGTGCAATACAACTTGAGTTCAGGAAGACTTATCATGACTCCAAGAATACTTTTTATGTTGACTCTTGCAGTACCCTCATTAACAAGGTGAGAACTGGACAGACTTCTAGATTGTTTGAAAACTGTCTGGACTGCTGAGCTCAAAGTCTGGAAAACAGTAGCTCAAGCTGTAGCTGGTGTTCACCATGAAGCACAGTAGCCCAGGGGTTGATACTGGAGCTCATACTATTCATACTGCACTCTATTTGCCATGATATTAAGTGAAAAAGACTGCCTGACACACTGAATTGCAGTGAATTGCACCCTTTCTAATTTACCTAAGTGTACTTAAGTGAGTAACAAAGTTTCTTGGTTTTTCTAAAATGAATTTAATACAAACTAAGTACTGTTTGTGTTCATGCTTGGAGAATAGCTGTGCTAATGTTTACATCACTATCTGATACTACAGAAATTACAAGATTAGTTTCCCTACCTCAAACTAGCAACTCAGAACCACTTAGTAATTTCTAATAAAGTTTTCAGCCAAAAAAAACTTGTTTCCTGGAGCTGTTCTTGATTTACATATGATTTGAAGTCAACTAAAAAAGACATCTTTCTAGTGAGTTAATTGCTTTATTAGAAAACCTGGTTCTTTCCCTTTCTAAAGTAGCAGCTAAAATCAGATCTGTAATAAAAACAGCCTTCCCTTGTGGTTGTTAACCACATTTGAGTTCCACAATGGAAAGAAAGAAAATGATTGTAACTCTATAAACTGTGGTGGCATCCTTTTGTAATCACAGATGAACAGTCACACACTGAAACCAGACGAACTGGAGAAGTAACACGTTCCCCAGTAAGCACAAGTAGGTGTTTTATGTATCCTACATAGTAGGCACCCAACAACTTACTAAAAGTGACAAGAAACCTCTCAGAAACTGAAGAAATTTACTGTGATCACAGAATTCCTCATTTCAGTCCTGTATATGCTACTTTTATACAGGGTGGAACCAAGTCTCCCAAGCAAGCAGTGTCAATGTAGCACAGAAATCCATGTTTTCAAGAACTAGCTCTGGTTTGGTTCCATGGACCAAACTCCATTTAGGAATAGAAGACAAATCAACTGCACTCCCAAACAGCACAGTTCAGTTTCACCCAAAGAATCCCAGTGATTTCCAGCATGAAGGGAAGCACAGCAAATGGAGATCAATGCATAACTCCATGCAAAAAACACATTCCTGTCCCCAAATTAAAACACTAGTGCAAATGGTGTTTTTAACACCATGGGCATCTTGTAGTACCAGGCCTGGTTAACAGGTATTCCTCTTAAGAAACACAGGTCTCCCAAGGATTAATTAAAAGGATCCGTTAAAAGGATAGGAAAGGTTTACAAGAAGAAATAGGTAAAATCAAAATTGCTTATAAATTTCTCAGAAAAGCTAAATTTATCCTGTTTAGGTATCTTCTGCCCATTTCACAGTCTTTGCTTGAACTTCTCATTGCAGATGCTGGTGTTTTTCAGAAAAAGAACCCAAGAAAACAAAACAGTGCCAACAAAAACTAGGGCTTTTAAGGAAAAAAACCAACCTTGCACAAACCAAAAACTAAACCACCATTTTGTTTTACTTCGTCTAAGAAATAGAGGGCCAGGTTATTAACTGTAAGTTCAATAGCAATTAATTCTCATCATGGAACGACTTCCCCACATTCCCTTTTCCTCCTCTGTCCATCCAGAAGTGTAAACAACATGCCTGTAGCCAAAACCCACACTGCTCCCAAAGCCAACCCAAAAGATCTAACACCTGAAGGTTCCCTTCAATCCAGGCAAATTTCCTAGCTAGCAGGGAATGTAAATTTCAGATTTAAAAAAAATCTACACTTTTACAGTGCCATTTGCATTTGGAGTGATTTCAAGGGGTGCTGAATGCTGTTATTAATAAGGATCCCTGCTGTTGTTTTACTCAGTGATTTATCACCTTCACACCTAGAAGGAGGACATCAGGCTACAGAAAGGAAATGATTCATTCAAGGTGGCATTTCTCCTTCTATTGTCAGGTGCTGAAAAAACATTAGCAATTGTATCTTACTTAAAGACTGCATAAAATGGCAACACGGTCCTGTTTGTTCAGGTTCACAATAAAATGTGCTGCCCAAAACATTCTTCAGAGAATACAACTTTCTAACATGACTGATCATTCTCCCTCAGTCAAACCTCCAGCACATAGCAGGAAATAATACTTCATGTTTTTTATTTTGCAATTAAGTTAGATAATTATATATATATAATTATATATATAAAATTATATATATATATTCCATAATTACAGAATTATGGAATTCCATAATTCATATTACTGCTAGAGATTATCGCGTTCTGTGACTTAAAACACTAGAATAGCTGTATTTACTAGTATTTACTAGTTCTGGTTTGATACATGCTGTGAAAGTTGACCAATATTTTTATGGTGCTGATGGATATAACAGTCAGTAATCAATCAGAATACTAACTGTATAAAGCAGTTGAAAAGATTAATTGTTATGGCATTAAAATATAATGCTGAATTGACAAGTAGTACATTGTTGCCTATTTNTCTCCCGCAGCCACGAGAAGCCCCTGGAGTACCTCAGAGCAGCAGTTTTCCCATTTCTGTGAGTACACGTGACCTGCCGTGTTTGGTACCCAATTTGTATGTCCCAGTATTTGTTCTCCTGCCTATTCTGTCTGTTGCGATTCCTCTTCTTCTTAATTAACTCACGAGCCTCGGGATCTCGAACTGTCTTTTCTCTGTCCTTTTCCTTGTCTTTGTTCTTCCCTCGTTTCCTCGCTTGCCTTATTTGTCTGGAATGGGGCACGGAGCAGGGGCTCCATGGTCCCACGTTCAGGCTGTAGAGGCTTTCCTCAGCAGCGCAGGGGCTGGACTGGCACATCTGGAACTCGGTGAGGTTAGGACAAGCTGACCCACCGAACTGCGGGGGAGCCACCACGTGCCGAGTCCGATGCTGAAGCCCATTGCCGCAGGTCTTGGAGCACTCGGACCATGGGGAGAATTCGGCCACGATGCAGTCCTGCCGGCACGGGATGAGGCACGCCTGCTCCTGCCGCGGCTTCGGCTCAAAGTACTCGCAGATGACATCTTCAGCTGCAACCCCGTTGGACTTCTGTATACAGGTGATGTCCCTTGTCTGGATCCCCTCCTCCCCTCTGAGGCACTCCAGGGGCTTCTCGTGGCTGCGGGAGAGGACGGGCCGGCACTGGTTCCAGCTGCCGATCTGCCAGTCGTACAGCTCCTTGTGCCAGTCGCAGACACGAAAACAGCTCTGCTGGTTGTCCGGCCGCTCCGGCTGCTTGCAGTTCGTGGGCAGCGTGGTCCAGCCCTCCACATGGGCACACCACACCGCTCGCGTCTGGATGCCTCCTGGACCGCACTCATCTCCCATGCATCTCCCCCATGGACCTGGAAAACAAGAGAAGATGCTAACATTGCGCCCTTAAGTTATTTCTCTGCCATATGGCAAAAGGAAGCTCATAGTATTTCCTGTATGTCTGAGAATCTCATCCTTGGAGAAACTTAAACTTTGAAAATACAAGCACGGGATTACTCTTCATCTACTGCTTTTATGATTACAGATACATTTCACTTTTTATGCCAGACAAGCTGAATATTTAATATTGAATAATTCTTGAACATACACATGAATTAGACACATTAAAGAACCATGAAGTAAGCAATCACATCCACAACTTAGTTTTTTCTGCCAAGGTAGGGGCCAAAGCTCTTCCCTTGAAGGCATGAATTGGATCTCTCTCATCCACTTGAATAAGTGGATAATTCCTGGACTGTTTAATTTTTTTCTTCACATATCTACTGCACTACACTTTATACCTTGATGCCATTAATGTTGTGTTCTCTTCCATATTGCATACAGAAATGAGAACTACACAATACATTTTGAAAAACAGCAGCAAATTCAAGTAGGCCACTTCTAGTATTTATTAACTAAAATAAAAATTAAAATCCAGTTAAAAAATGTTCATTCCACACAATCTGTGATATTATTATAGAATAGAACAAGACAGAGACATACCAGCTGGTAACTCTCCAAATAAAAGATGCTATTGAATCACTGATTCATAGAATATGGGAAAGGGACCTCAAGGATCATCTGGTCAAAACTTTCTTGGCAAAAGAACAGTCTAGATGGCTCAGCACCCTGTCCAACTTTATCTTAACAATGTCCAGTGTGGAGGAATCTATCACTTCCCTGGGGAGATTATTCCAACTTCTGATTATTCTTATTGTAAACGTTTCTTCTTGTGTCCAATCGGAATGTCCCTAGTGTAACTTGTTCCTACCATTTTCTTTAATCTCCAAGACCTATGGTAATATTTGACATGAAACATGTTGTTATAATAAATGTCAACAAAAATAAATAAAAGCCTATATCCTTGAAAGATGACGTAGTTGCTTTTTCCATTATTAAAAACTGTAATATTCACCCAGTTCAATACACAAAATCCACAAGTCAAAAATCCTGTATTTTTCAGGTTTTTTAACATCTCCCACCATAGACACTGTGAGTTGACTTACCATAAAAGAGCAAAAGAATAAGCAATTCATAAAAAAACCCCTGCAACTATTTATCAAAGAAAACCTGTCTATCTGCAGGCACCTGATCACGCAGAAGACATTTTCTCTGACTGAGAAGTGCTCTGTCCTATGAAGAAACTTGGGCCAAGCCAAACAATCCTCATTCACCTGAATGACCCCAGTACAAGACTATTTCTGTGAGTAAAGCTGTTGAAGAAGCCAGGCTGAGCCTTTGCTATTTTCAAAGCAGGTTAATAGCATAATTTTGGTACTGCACAGGAATAAGTGAAATGAACTATGGCAGATACTAATTATTTACAACATCTTCTTACTGAATGACTGGAAGGAATACATGGCCACATCTTATTACTGATTCCCATGAGCTTTGAAACTCTCATTGGCTTCCACACAATTTTCATCTGTTCATCCAACATTAACTTCAGCACCAGTTTGGGAATGAGCTGATGATAGACCATATATTTAGCCTCTGCTCCTCACTGTCTCTTTTCTAAATGAACACTGTGGCTGAACAGCTCACTTGTAGTTCTAAAACCCTGAGAATGAACACTAGCTGGCTGAAAATAGCAATACCAGCTGGCAGATTCAGCCCATGGAAACTCCTCCATATTTCTTTGCAAATTAAATTTGAATTATAGCTGTGAAGGTCTAGCTAGCTATCCAGAAAAATGAATGTATATCAAATATAAACACATTTCAATTTCAGCAAGACTGCACTACTTTATCTCTAGCTAGCCTTCCAAAAATGACATAATCATTGTTGTATTTAATTTGGGTGTATTTACCCTGAGTTGAGAGATACAATTTCCTCAAAGCATCGCTTTGAACACCTGTTTTTTAAAAAAAAAATAAAGACTGCAGAAAATCTTCAACTAGAGCAGAGATATAAAAAGTAATCATGCTTGAAATAAATTGTTCATCCTGCAAACTACAAATTTCTACCTTACCATGTCAGTACACCTTGTGTATGTTTTGTGTGTTCAATGAAGAAATCCCCCTTTTTAAAGATCAGGTCATTACTGTACCCCAGATGAAAATTTTGCCCACTTGGGATTCTATCACATCTCCATTCATCAATAATCAAAAAAGTCACATTGTACCTAAAAAACATGCTTATCATCAAACTATCTTCAATCTGATTATAAGACAGGTTTCAGACTACTGAAAACTATAAAAATTTTAGCCTTGATGCAATAAATAGTGCCTTTGTAAATGTAAATTTGAACAAAAACTCTGTTATGTGACTGTGCTAACTGGGCAAAAATAAGTTCTCTCATTAGATTATAAATACATTGTTTTCAGAAGTGAATACAAAGCAGTGATGAGATGTACAGACAGACTCATGTAGTAAATTGCACTATTTTGCTTGTTCTGAGAAGTAGTAAAACATTTCAAACATTTCAATAAATCATTACAGGTGAGTACCAAAACAAATCACATTTACATGACCCTTTGAGCAGACTGTAATTCTATGTTCGTGTGCATGTCGACACAAAGCCCTTAGTGATGTATCTGACCCTCCCTCTTATCTACATTAAGCTATTTCCTAAGTTTAAAGACAAAATAACCCACTTTAGTGAAAGAGACTGCAAGTACACAAAAAAGCTTAAATTTTCACTCTACGGTACAGCCCTTTATTATGACAGTGTCTAAAAGGGAGCCACAGCTTTGGGGCAAGGATGTGTTTAGGCTTTGTCCTAAATGAGCTTCCTCAAAAACTAAAGTGCTTCCACACCTGACCAAACTTGCTCTGACCGAAATAATACCGAGAATAGCAATTTTTTTTTCTTTTGAAAACAACTTTTCCCATACACATTACCCAACATTCCTGTTATTTTTCAATTGTGCACTTTGAAATCTTCATTTAAGTTACCCACATTTCCCTGTACCCACAAGCCACTGTAGTCAACCTCAAGCACTCACTGAGGAATGCTGTAGCTATGCATTTGTGTGGGGAAGTCACAAAAAGAGAGGGAGAAGTTTCTCTCCAATTTTCCTTACAACTACCCATCTCTCTAGTTTTCAAGAGCCTACAATAATTCCCTTCTAAATTAACTGGCCCCAAAAACATTGCAAGCTTCAAGGTGAGGCATGGTTGTCTTTTGAAATTAATCACAGGAAAACAGCAAAATAAATGCCTTTGAAATGTGTAAAGGGGCTTTGTGACTTTTCCAAAAAATAAAATAAATGAATCATAAAGTATTGCTAATCCACTTTAAAGTTTTGAATGATTCTCAGAAGTATGAGAAAATCACATGCAGGTTACCTGTGCTATGTTTTTTTTATATCATGTAATCATTAGGGATACGTTTACCACTGTATTTGTAAATAGGACATTTTGGGATAAAATTAGCTTCACAGAAACTAATGCAGCATACATATGCAACTCAGAATGAAAAAGATCAGCAGAACACAGTGTAGAGTCTCACCCACCATTACTTAAAAGCTGCAGGAGGTGGGGGGTGGCTGCCCTTTCACAAATCTTCAGCTGATGGTAAGCACTAGTAACAACAAGAATGTCTTTAGGAAACCTGTCAAGCCTAATCAAGGCCTCATATAATATTTTAATTTGGCCTTTATGAATATTCTTTAGGTTCTCTCCACCGAAGCAGTCTTCACACCGACACTCTGCTGTCCCTGCTGTGTGCTGATCCAGACACGCCTTGCCAATGGGATGCATGGGCACTCAAACCATCTCACACTGGGAAAAAAAGGCTACTGCTGTGAATGCAAAATAGCTTTCCTCTGGATTTGTTCTAAACATACTTAGATGAATGAATCATACTTTTCCTGTAGTGAGCTGAACTTGTTTCATGAAAATACTATAGTTTATCCACTCTTTATTTAATCAGTGTTTTACAAATGGCAGTTACAGAAATAAATAGGAAGCTTGCAACTTTTTGTTCTGGGAGTTGTCACTGAAGTCTTAGTAAGTTTAAAATGTCATTTGTAATTCTTTGTCTTCTAAAGAGATTACTGTAAAATACAATATTAAGATTCCCTCTAAGCTTCTGAGGGATTAACATTTATTTTTTTAGATAGCAGGAACATAAGTGAATTAACTGTTCCTGCAAGTTTATTCTGAAATTTCAGGGACTTATCACAATGAAGAGAAAAACTGAAAACTAAACCCTCACTAAAGCACTGACAGTTTTGCAGCTGAGAACAAAGTAAGCTATTATTGTATGTAATATAGTATATTTAATATAGCAAATTTTAATATTGTTTCAGGTATTAAAATTATCTCTGTTTTAAAAAGAACTTACTTTGAACTTTGATCCAGGACAAATAAGGCTATGTGAAAATCCCTTGAGCTCTCCTCATACAAATACAAAGAAAGACAAAATAATCCCCCAACTATCCTCAAACATTAAACTCCAAGCACATCTTAAAGCATTGAGCAAGACATTGCATTTTTAACAAATGAGGGTTGCACTGATTTCAACTGAATTTTGCTGTACTTTCCGTGAGAACTGGTTTTGACCCATTTTATGTTACTGGTTTGGTGCCTGTAAGTAGCATTAACAGTTTAATGCCAGGGAGAGAGACTCAGACTGAATGAGACAATGAGCAGCTTAGTTTTCAGTATTTTGAGAGGATTGTATTTAATGGGACTATTGTGAGACTGATTAGCAAAAATCTACTCTTTCTAAGTTCAGAAACAAGCTAACCTCACCTAATATTGGAGACCTCAAATTTCTTTGTATCATGAAAGTGTTGTCAAGAGGGCAAAAAAGGTTAACTGGGGGATACAGGGCTGAGTCAGAAGGACACAAGTATTACAAGATAGAGTTCAAGCCTAAGAAGTAAATCTCAAGAGAGGTCAAAAAGACACAGATCAAGAAGTA